CCTATTCTTTCACACACCACCCTTCCTTCTACAGGTAATTCTGCCTGCTGTATGTTGAAAAACACCAGTGGAGTCTTCTTGATCAAATGCCAGTACTTTTCTAATCTCTCATTCAGATACCACCCATGAATACAATGTCACAGTGTCACATATGCTGAAGTCTAAGCAGTGAATTAAATTAACTGACTGTACTACATTTATATAGATTGTTACCAGGAATTATGTTTGCTTAAAAGCTCAGTTTAAAGGAAGAAAACTCATTCATTGCCACGACAGAAGTTATTCCTTAAAATTAGTATTTTCCCATACAGCAGGCCAGATATGTCACTGGAATAAGTGGAAGCTCAAAACCAGAAGGAACTTCCATTTTGAAACCAGTAGATGTAATTTTTGTACCGAGTTTTCAAGTGTGTAATGGTCCTTGTACAGCTAAAACATTTCAGATGTTGGATGCTTCAGATAACAAAGGTACTTGGTACTTTAGGTGCAAGCAAGTGAATCTCATAGCACTGAAATAATCTGCAGCAACCATCACATTGCACACACTGCACTGCCAGGGACACCCTGTCCCTGAGAATTCAGTAATCCAAAATGGGACCTACACTAAACACTCATCTTGAAGTCATCCAAGATGGCCAACAGGAAAAACTATGGACAAAGCAATCCTCATTAGCTCATTCTTGCCCAGGAAACTGAAAGCCTTTCAAAAGCTGAACCAAGAACTGAAATCCTGTTTCCCTGCTCCATAACACAGACCAACACTCACAATGCTGACAGAGTTTGGGCCAAGACGGAGTTCCCTGGATAGAGATGTAAATCCATATCTATCACCTCCACCCACTCCTTGCTGGGCTACACAGTATGTGGTGTGAGGGCTACAGACATGATGGCTTCGTGGAAAGAAGGAAGCATCTCCCGTTCCTGATAATTTTTAGCCTAATACTCTTGAAGTTGAAAAGAAAGCCTAAAGCCCTTCCAGCCCAAGAAAACAAATGTCCTGCTATCCTGAGTGAATCCCCAAGGTATGAGAAAACCAAACAAACCCTGTTGTGTACAGTTCTGCACAGGAGGCAGATTCGGAGGAGGTGCAGACAAGCACTTTGGATAGATCCTGACCCAGTAAGGTGCCCTGGAAGCACCCAGCTCCTCTGAACACAGAAGTGACAAAGCACTTCTGCACATTCAGAGGAAGATGAGAAGTGACAGTCACACAGGAACTATCTCCCAGGCTTTGCTCATGTTGGCACAAGGCCAGTGGTAGAAGTACAGGTTTCTGGTCAGCCATGGGGGGAGCCAGCAGAGCCAAGCTGAGATGGAATTCTGTGAGAAGGACAAAGATGTGGCTGCAGCTCCAGATTGAGGATAGAAAACATAATCAGACCCACTGATAGCTCATTTGTTTCTCAGCTTCGCTGAATGCCTTTGCTGTTAAAGCCGTGGCAACACAGGAACATTTTGCCTCATTCACTGTAGCCCTCCTAAAGAAACTAAAACTACAATCCAGTTCATTTTCAGAAAAGTAAAATTCAGGAAAGAAACCTCTACCAAACTCTCTTATTTCTAGCAGCAATAACCTTCAGCAAGAAAATTAAATTGGCAGGAACTTTGTATGTTATCCCCAACAAGCAAGTGTGCTGGATTCCAAAGGGAATAGAGAGCCACACTTTCAGCAGAGCAAATGCCTGATGTCCACTGCCCTCCACTTCTGCCCGTCAGGGCCAAAGCTTATTACTGCAAATATGATGTGGTTTTTACAGAAGTTTTAACAGATTAATAGATTCCAGTAATCAATATAACCAGTTTTCCATAATCAGGCCTCATTATCATGTCCATGCTACCGATGGGCAGCTGCTGCCAGCTGCTACAAACTTCCAGCAATGCCTTTCTGCTCTTGTAAATTCCTTTTCCATCTGTCAAGCGTAAGCTCACGGTAGCAATGATGTACAGTCATTGTGGTGAATGGATAGTTCACATCACAGCAAAGCCCATCATCATCAAGTTTCAGTAAGCTTATGTCATATATCACATACAAAGTTTAAAAAAAAAAGCTGGAAAAATATGTATTGCATATAATTACAGTTGTCTGCTCTAGTGTCTGTTTGCAGAGGACATGCTCAGGACTGTTCAGTAGGACAAGAATTGTTTCAAATGAGGTTCTGCAGGTCCCTTCTGCCAAGACTCAAAAAAATCAGAGGCATCTGCCCTATAATCAAATAAGGAAGTTAAGCCATAATGAGCTACTTCAGATGGTTACAATTTACAGCAGTCCTAACTTCCACTGAGTAAGCACTGATTATCACTGGCCTTCACTGAAGTCATCCTGAAGTATTTTTGTTAATGATCCAAGCTATCCACATCAACAATTTATGCCAACATCATTCCCAATTACCTTCTGTCTGAATAATGAGTTATTTTGATACCAACATTAACTTGGTTTTAGTTGAAAATATTACTGTTGCATAAATGGTCAAGGTAATACACAAATGCAAAAGGTGACCTTGAAAAACTAAAACTTTGAAAAGCTCTCATTGAGATTAAATAACAATGAATGCATGGTAATACCATTTGAAGAAAAACAGAAATCAGCTTATGTAACAAGTGACTCAAATACAGAAATTTACTATTTGTCTGAGTAGTTTCTGATGTTACAAATACAAAATGTCAGAATCTTTTATTTCTTCCATGTTCAAGAACTTGGAGTTACAGACTGGAGAGCTCAAACCCTAAGGGGAGCTGGTGCTTGCTGTACATGTACTTGCTGCACATCTTCTGTGTGTCCAGAGAAGGGAACGGAGCTGGGGACGTTCAGCCTGGAGAAAAGGAGGCTCAGGGGGGATTTCTCACCACTACAACTCCTTGACAGGAGGATGTAGCCAGGTGGGGTTGGTCTCTTCTTCCAGGTTACAAGAGATAGGACGAGAGGAAAGGGCCCCAAGTTGCACCAGAGGAGGTTTATTTTAGATATTAGGAAAAAATTTCTCCTCTGAAAGGGTGGTCCAGCACTGGAACAGGCTGCCCAGGGAAGTTGGGGAATCCCTATCCCTGGAAGTGTTCAAAAAACACGTGGATGTGGCACTTGAGGACATGGTTTAACTATGAACAAGGCAGTGCTGGGTTAATGGTTGGACTCGATGATCTTAAGGGACTTTTCCAGCTTAAACAATTCTATGATTCTATTCCCAGATTTCTACAGAGCAGGAATTGAAAAAGCCAGCTGGCACTTAACTGCCACCTTTGGTAAACAAGAGGAAGAGCCAGAGGAGTTCACCTATTGCTCAGATAGACACAAAACTTGAAACCATATTACTAAAGGACATGTTCAAAACCAGCTTTATAAAGGTGTGAGACAAAGTTAGGTAAGATAGAAAGTATCTCGTAAGACCATTTCTGTATTATAGGGTGACTTGATTTCTGTTACCAAGGGCCCCAGACACTGAACAAAACACTTGGTAGGATAATCCTCCCCCCAAGAAATAACAACTTGAGTATTAAACACATAACGTAGGAATATATACTTGTATGTACTTGCACACCTCAAGTTATAATCTAAACATCTGTGAAGTAAAAAGATTAATACAACCCCTAAAATACTCCATCTTCCAACAATGTACCATATTCCCTACCACACTCTGAAGTGCAGACTAGGATTTTCACTCTCTCCCCACAAAACATTTTAACTTTACCTTCAAGTAAGTTATTGTACCAGAGTAATTTCAGAGTTCTCCATGGACTCTCTGGATATCAGCAGCACTTCATAAAGAGCTTCTCTTTGACTCAAAACTGCAGATTATGCCGTGTTCAACTGAGAGCCATATATATAAAATTAAGACTTTGAGCTCGCCTTTTTAATTTTGATTATCTAAAGCTGGTAATATAAAGAATTTTGGCGAGAGAGGTGACTTTAATTGTAAAGATTGACTTTATGGCATAGAATGTTCTTTTTCAAAGGTCTCCATACAAATCACATACTCTTAAAAAGAACAAGGTTGCAGAGTCCCCCATGCAGGTCTTTAAATCTCTCCCACACGAAGGTGAATTTGGAAGGTGCCAGTGTGATAAAATGCAACAGCTGTCTTCCCCAAAATGAGCCTAGAGCAGAGCCCAGCTTTGTTACCTGGTCCAGCTCTATGCAACACTGCTCATTTACACACCTGAGGAATTTGTCTAAGAGGCTGAGATTTTTCTTCATACCTTGCATGAATGGACTTATTTTATGAGACATTAAGTGTTTTGCAGGAGTGGTTGTGTTTTAAGGCTTCACCTGTCAGCGACTATTTTACTTCTAACCAGACTGGGGAGGTGGTAAGGAGGGCAGACAACACCATCACCATCTTCCTTTGGTATAATTACATTGATGAAATCTACTGAACACCTAATTCAGTGCATGGCAGAGAAAGCTCCTGAATTTAAGATTGTTTCCTGCTAAACTAGCATCATAGAACATATACTGGCAGCAGAAAAAACTGCCAGCTTTGACAGCTATTTGCTACAGGACACTTCATTCTTCAAAACTACATATAGCAGCATGATAGAGTTCTGATGAAAGCAAGAGCAGGTAATGTGATATAAAATATGCATGAGTATGAAAGTGCACTGCCACGGGTAGGCTCTGTATAGTGTTTTTCATGCTTGACAGCATGGTCTGATACAAGTAGAAAGGAAACAGATGAGACAAAACTACTGCCTAAAATCAAGATTATTTGGGGAGTTTTTTCCCTTTCAGTGAGAGCAGAAATAGAGTGCTAAAAGATGTGCAAAAACCCTACCAACCAAATTAATAAAAGAGGACAAACAAAAAAAAAATAAGGACAAGCACAGTTCAAAAATTCAGATCTCCCCACACTTCAGTACCACTCCCTAGTGTGTTACATTAGCTTATTCACTCAATTTTGTAAAGATGTTGTCACCTGATATTGAAAACTCAGTATTTGCTGCCTGAACAATATGACAGTGGCCTCCAAAATTTATAAATATTGAAGACTCTTTTTTTGCATAATTACCTTGTGAAGTCAGTCATCTCCATCATAATCACACACATCCGCTTGGCCAGAACAATTATGTCATTGCTGGTATCATCCCATATTTCAATCTCTGCATCAAGCTTACTCTTGACTTTTTTGAAGTCAGCCACTTGCTCAGCTATCTTTTCCTTTTCAGCCTCTGGCAGTTGAGTCATCTTGGCCTAAAACACAGAATAAATTGATTTGTAAAACATCTACGTCAGAGTATTTTTCTTTTTTAAAACGAAACCGCTGTACATTATTAAATATATAGTTTAAAACCACTGTGGCCTGGGCCAACTGTTCGAGTTTGAGCACTTCTAAATTTCAAAATCTGTATGCTATCATCTGGTTGTGCCAAATAAATTATCTCAGTGTGATGGGGTCAGTGGTGTTTGTGAAACCATTAATATTAACATAGTGAGAGAAAGAATACATTCTTCCACAGAGCCTTTATGAAATATGACTAACAGTTGCTCCTATTTCTTAGGGTTAAGGAGCCTAAGTGTTTTTAAGTATGATATATGTGCAAGTTACAAAATGCAGTATTGATTCGGGTAGGAAATAATCAATGAAAAGGGTTAATTGTCCTAGAAATTTCAGGTATGCATGTTCTCTCTCCTGAGAAGGTTCTACATTACCATTTGAAGAGCCAAAAAAGACTTAATTGTTCAAATATGGATATTCTGTCTTTGCAGAAGATAAACAGATGAGCACGTCAGAAATCAGTATGTGAATAAGGTTACCAAAAACTCCTGAAAATGGCGAGAGAAATATTTTATTTAACGTTCTTCTTCATGACCAAGATCATCAGCCTTCTCCAGACAAAGGGCAGATAAACCTTCTGTGTCAGGAACAGGCCAGGAGGCAGACAGGGGCCAAGATATTATGTGGCCACATGGAAGTCCTGGCCCTTCATAACACATCCTACCCCAGGAAGCAGGGAGACCTTTGGGCTTGTTGGTCTTGATGGCTCTACTGCCACTGTGGTTCTTATCCAGCACCTTCCCTGGAAAGCAGCCCCCTTCAGGCCACCAGGAACTCACAACTACATGCAGCAACTATTAACACACTGAAATTACTCTGCAATTAAACAGTAAATATTTTGTGACTTATTCTTGTTTATAAAACATTACCTACCATCAATAAAATAGAAAGTTAAGGCGGTGGTTGAATTACTTATAATTAACATAACAGGCAATCAGTCTTATACGTAATGCATATGTTTTTCAAGCCATGTCTTTTCAGAGATCTTATTTATGCTAGAATCACTCTGGCACAGGGTTATTTTTCTCTTTTATACAAATTACTGGAAATTACAGGTTTCCCAACATGTAACTATGTTATAATTTGCAGTCACAGAATCACAGAGAATCATAGAATGGTTAATGGTGGAAGGAATCACCATACAGTGGTCAGAATTACCCTATAGTCACAGACTCAGAAAGTGAAACTGTTTTGAGGACTACTTCTCTTGTTTTGTTAAAAAACCCCACAAAACTAAATAGACCAGAGAAGACCAAGACACACTTTCCTCATGGCTGTAGGATAAGCTTGCTGGGTGTGCTGGTTTTTTGGCTGGGGTAGTTAATTTTCTCCACAGTAGTTAGCACGGGCTGTTTTGGATTTGTGCCGGAACACATGCTGGTAAAATAACCACGTTTTTGTTATTGCTGAGCAGAGCTCACACAGAGCCAAGGCCTCACCTGCCCCTCACCTCACCCCACCAGCAAGGAGGCTGTGGGGGCACAAGGAGCTGGGAGGGGACACAGCTGGGACAGCTGATCCCAACTGACCCATGGGATATCCCAGCACATAAAGCTGGGGGAAGAACAAGGAAGGGGACATTCAGAGGTGTTTGCCTTCCTGAGTCACCACTGCACATGATGGAGCCCTGCTGTCCTGGGGATGGCTGAACACCTGCCTGCCCAGGGGAAGTGGGGAATGAATTCCTTGTTTTGCTTTGCTTATATGCACGGCTTTTGCTTTACCTACTTAACTGACTTTATCTCAAGTATTCCCACTGTTACTCTTCCTATTCCCTGCCCCTTACCAAGGTGGGGGGGTGAGCAAGCAGCTGCGTGGGGCTGAGTTGCCAGCTGGGGTTAAACCACAACAATGACAAAGGTATGAAACATAAAAATAAAGAGCTGGGCTAGAGAGGGAAGAGACCTTTTTATGCTCTGATGCATGTTTGCTGATTGGTGGATGTCTGTGGTATTTCCCAGCCCCCAGCTTCTGTACTGGTTTGAGTTCAAGATCACAGGCCTGGATCTTGAAACCACGAGAAAGATGACATTTTAATGAGGGAGCTGTGACATACAGTATCCTGCTATCTGCCAACAATAATGAGCTTCAGGTGGAATGAGACACATTATCCACTGGAACAAAGGGGCAAAGGAGGCTATAATTCTGACCTTGTCTTTTCTCTCCTTTCCCTCATAATGCTTTAAAACCATGCACAGCAACAAAATAAAACAATTGGATACACACCCTTTTAAGCACAGATTTGATTTTGTATCAAAATAGGCAACATAATGGTAATTGTGAAATAAAGATCTAAATTGAATGACTGCTATTACATGACTACAGGTTTATTTTGTCCACCAGGAGAAAATGACTTTTTCATTACTTCCAAGACAAAAATGTTTTTATTGCAGTAGCAGATAACAGAATTAAGACTAGGTGAGAGGAGCAGTTATATTTTTGATATTTTCTTTCTTCTATTAAAAAAAAGGTATAGATTTTTGTCTTTAGTTTCCCTGAATTAACTTCTCAGAAGGCTATTTATTTTAGCTGGATTCTCCAGCACTGGGCTTATGTTATTTGCGTTCTCCCATTTGCAACTTGACTTACCCTGTGAGATTGGTGTTTCTTTTCATTCCAGCCCCTTTCAAGTTTCAGTCAATTCTCCATCAGAGAAACTGAACTTTTAAGGCCATTTAAGGACACATGTGGAGTAACTACTTGGTGAAGATTTTGACTCTCCTCTCACTGGTGCATTGCTTGCCAGTAAGATGCCAACCCAAAGAACTGGCCTTTTGCCTACCTTTGTCCCTGGCTTCCCTCTAAGGATGTGACTTTTATATAAATTTAAGATTATTGTCCCTAAGTCTCAGATTGACATGCCTTTTTTTTTTTCTTTCCTGACCCCTAAAACCAAATGCCTGGCCAGATCTGTGCCACCAAAATTCTTACCACTTACAGGAACCAGGAAGGAAAGAAAAGCAACCAAAAGCAGCACAATACATTAAAGCAAGAGCAAAGAACCTTTCTTTGAAAATTATTTAACACTTCTTGCTTTGTAGGCTGCAATATGTCATGTAACTACAGAGAAGAAAAGAGGAAAACTCTGTTTTTCTGCAATTTTGTAGGTTGCAGAGAAACAAACCCCACTCTCCTGACTGAGCATGTGAAAAGCTCTTCAGAGCTTGTAGAAGCAAAAACACAAAATAAACTGCTTTTCACATAGTGTGGTTATAAGACAATGGCAGAGATCCCAAAAGACCTGATTCATGTCCCTGCCTTGCCTTACTTGAGAGCTAAGCTTTTCCTTCCACCACAGACTCAGCAGCCACAAGGAGCCACCTCACCTCTGTCCCTGCTCTCCTGCTGCAGCCAGCTGAATATCTGGTGGAAGTGAACAGGATCCCTCCAAGTCACTCAAAGGACAGCAACATATTTCAATCAAACTGTTGCAAAACAGTTCCAGTCATGACCTTTAATTGCTTTTTTTTCTTTAACAAACGTGGCATCCCTGCCTGTGGCAGGGTTTGGAACTAGAAGGTCTTTAAGGTCCCTTGCAATCCAAAGCATTCTGTGATTCGATGATTCCATTTTATCAGGAAGGTGAGCATGAGACCAAAACTAATCTAAGGAATCCTACTTTTTCTCCTGATGGAATAATTTTTTTGAGTTTGGATAAAGAAGTGAAAAAGAGAATGATGGATATTCAGCAATTCATAGCAAAGTGAACACATGTCCCAGAAGATGAACTCTGTGGGTGTGTGACACTGACAGCAGGGAGAAGCTGTGTTTCTTTTGATAAGTTTACTACCTGCTGTCCCCAGTTGTCTTCTCCCAGTTTTAAGACTTGTAGCAAGCCTGCTGAAGTCCAGCATTCTTTGAACAAGTTCAGAGAATGCCTCATTTGTGCTGCTGTGACAGTTCCCCTCTATATTTAGATAGAATATAATTGGATAAATTGATAGGGAGATAACAGAAAAAAACATTTAATACCATTTTTGCACCAGCCTCTGCTAAAAAGGTGGACTAAGATGATGCAACTGTGTCACATTAATCTAATTTCTCTTTGTCCCAGGTCTATAGGGCTACACATGAAAAAACAACATGTCATAAATCTGGACTTCACTAGAGTTTTGCCACCGGTTCTCATGTCATCCTTATAAATAATCTAGTGAAATATGATCTAGATGTAGTTGCCATTGGTTGGACGTGATACTGGTTAGAAAATTGCTCACAGAATACTTATGAAGAACAGACACCAAACCAGAGGGCAAAGTCCTGAAGGGAATGCCCTGACTCTGGCATTAGTCAGTATTTTCACTAATGGCGTGGATGACACAACCCAGAATACACACCACACCTTTGCAGGGGAAGAGGCCTGGTTTACAATTCAAAGCAGTCTTGAGAAACTTGAGAACTGACCTGAAAAAATCATGGGATGTATTTCAGCTGAGAAAAGCACGAGGCTTCACACCTAAGAAAGTTGCCAAAACACACAGACCTGAGACGTAACCAGTTATTGGCAGTTCTGTGGGTGGGGATTTGTAGTCGGCAAAAAGGCAAACCTCGTCCAAAACTCATTCCTAAGTATTCATACAGGAGAAAACAGTGTAAACCTTACACTAGTGCTTGTTGTGCAGACCACAGCTGGCTGAATGAGTTTAGCAATATAAATAGTCTGGACACCAAATTTAAGAAGTTATTAACAAGCTGCAGAGCATCCAGAGGAAAGAAAAAACAGACCAAAAGGACACAGAGAAACCACTATCTTAAAGGATAAGGTTATTGGAGTTATTTAACCTGGAGTTTTCAAAAGAGAGAGGATATAGGAAAAGGATGTACAAGTACAAAAAAAAAAATTATACGTGCAGAAAAGAAATGTCACATATCTGTGTCCATTGCAGATAAGACTAGTACTAACATGCCTAATTGCCACATATGAGGTATAAAGAAAAAAACTTTGTAATAGTATATAATATACTACAACCTTGAGACCTTAACTTAATCTCTCCCCTTTACTGAAATTGCGTTAAAAATTGGCAAGAAAATCAAATACTTTTGATAGATCATGACTACTTTTGCTATGTGTGAAGTGCCAAAATTACCACTCATAGAACCTACTCAAAATTACAGTAGTTATTTTCATTATGTTTGAATACTTATTATCAGTATTTCATGCTTGTGAGTGGCTTTGATAAAAATTAAACCAATTAAATATTCTAAAATTGGCTTTTTTATTTACAAAATAGCAGATGCTTCCTGTTAATGTATACCAGCATTTCTACTAATGCAGGAATTTAGATGTAAAGTATTTGCTACTTGAATAAGAATAGCTAATTCATTTGATGGCAAACTTAACTTCCCCTCTAACTATTTTTTATGCAAGTATCAACAGTTCTTGGTGTTTGCTTTTATATATCTTCTCTCTTCTTAGAGTTTGGTATATTTTTAGACATATATAATTGATCGCTGTATTTAAAATGCAATGCAAACAAAACAGTGAAATAATTCAGCCTGGATTTTCTCACTCACAATACACACTGAGCCAATTTTTTATCAGCCCAGAATTGTTGCACAAACATAGTATGGAACAAACCTGTACAAAACATGATCCTACTCTCAGATGTTTTTGTCAGTGCATTCAACAAAACTGTCTGTAGAACTCTGAAAAAAACAATGTGGGTGGGTGGTTGCCTGAAAGCAGTTCTGCTCTTGTCATCCCTAAGTGGATTATGTTATGAGGTAAAACATTTTGCCTCTTCTTCAATATGATCACCTCATCCTGCAGCAGTAACTCTGAAATGAAGCTAAGCTGTTCCCTTCACTAATTTAGTAACTTTAAACACTTAGAATATTTTTTCTCTGATCATTAACATGTGCATTGTCTTCTAAGCCTGAAAATGAATGGGGCAAATTCTGACTTGACCTTCTCTTCAACACAAAAATCATATGATAATAAGACAGTAACTACCTCAGTGGAATTACTCTGATCATGATGGCATGAATTTCCTCAGGCAAAATTAGTGTGTGATAAGCCTGCAGAGCTGACTACACAAATTAGACACAACAACCAGAGGGAGGTCTAACTTTCAGCTGAGAAAAACTGCATTAGCCCCTGGATCCATAAGCAGTACCTGTTTTTATAGTAGCTAAGGATTTGATCCTAAGGATCTTCCTCAAGGATATAAAATCACCCTACAAAAAACAATGAGTATTTCTATGCAGTTTAAACACTGAGAGATCTCACAACACATTGCCCAAGTTAACTTGTATCCCACAGAGTGAGCTGGTGCCACAGGCACTATCATATTCATCTCAGAAAAATGGAATTATCTGAGGGAAGAGATCAAGGAAGTAACATTTTCAAGATGAGTCAGGTACATAAATACAAGGTCAGATCTCAGTCCTGCTATCTCACCACTAACCTATACTCTCTCTTTATAGACATAGATTCTGAAGAAGATGTGATTAATAATACATGACTGTTTCCTGCATAAGGGAAATGAGATTTGCTAGTTAAGATGTAGCCTTTGTTACAATTGGCATACACACATCACATCTGGTTTTATATGTTGTGATAAAAACAGAAAGAAAAAAGGCACTAGTTCCCTGTTGGAGCAGTGAGAGATGTGACACAGAAGAAATTACAACACTCTTGACAAAGCAAGAGGAATCAAGAGTGCTGTTACGCAGAACTAGTATGGAGCCAGATATGTATAAATAAAATTGAATTATTATAGTTGAAATGCCCAAGAGAAAGAACTCAAGGAGGAAAAAAGGTTACTCTGAGATCCTGCCAAACCACTTCTGGAACACAGTCATTCCTGGTGTCAGCCCTGCATGGAACAGCTTCCCAACAGCACAGAAATCTGCTGCAGAACACAAAATGGCACAAACTCTGTCTAAACCTCAAAATCTATCTTCTCTATAGACTCTTCATATTGCTAAACAGGTTCTAGGTATAAATCTTCAAATATCAATATCAAATAGGAGTCCAAATAAAGGGGCCTTAAATCGTTGTTCTTATTTGCTTGCAGCAGCAAAAGGATTTGTTCAAACATCTGTCAAAAAAAAGTGTATGCAGGTTTCTGTCAATATGTTGATTTAGGCTGAGTGGGTATGTATGGAATTTAGCCAAAGCTATAATTTTCTATTACTCTGGGAGGTAATGTGTCATTTATGGCCCTGATAGCTTGGAAATTTAGGAAAACTTTTTCCAAGATACAGAATCGGCTTTAAGTCATGACTGCTATCTAGATCCCACAAAAAAAGAACACTCACAGCAATTGCATTACTTTAGGGAGAAACGGAAGAAAAAACAGCACATACTATAATGTTTTAATAAAGGTTCTTTTCAGATATATTTCCCATAGTTTATCTGTAACAGTCCCTTCCACCTCCCCACCAAATTCACTGACACTGCAGACTAAATAAATACCCCGTGGCAGCACAAGGAAAAGCACATCCCAGAGACATCTCTCCACAGCAGTAACTCTGCCATGGCTCTGGTTCTGGACAGCCACCTCCCTACCTACAACTGTCTTCAGCACTTTGTGCAGTTGTCTGGAATGTGTTATTTAGGGCTTTCTTTTCACAAAAAGCATTCCCTTTGAAAAACTGTTTTATTTGAGAAGTAGAAGACCGAGCGTGAAAATGTGATCCTTAAAGTTTTAGCGGATCTTTTGTTACTACATTTTGATAGTAAATATCTACAAACTACTATTTCTGCTTTCCCAGTGAAAGAAAACCTTCAACTGCATTCATTATGGGATATTTATGAAAATATGCAAGCACACCCTCTGTACCTGTTCCAAAAAAATTCATGACGTTCTGTATGGATGACATTTTGATGGAAAACCCTGCCTTTTTTAACTACAATACAAATTTTAGCCTTTAATTTGAGGAAAATGTGCTAACATTCACAAAGATTGATTTAAATTGCAAAGGGCAGCTAGTATAATTTAATTGCCAGTTAAGTTTATTGAAAAATAAGACTGTATGAGGTGGTCTTTCACACAGTTATTACACTTCTCACGACGTTTTAAGAATTAACTGACAGTTAATTAAAAAATGATATGCACACGTGCAACACAAGTGAACTGCATTCATTTTGGTTAATGTTTTTTCATTAGTATCTAGGGTGTTAACAAAGAAAATATTTGTTGAATAAAAAAATGCGTTTGCTGAAAAGCAGACATGAATTAAACCACCATTTTTTGACATAATTCTTTTCATGCAGAAAAGTTTGCCTTTTTCCCAACTAGTTCTATCATTAATAATTTCCATTACAGGAGTAATACTAGAATCAATCAAGAGTGAGAGGCCCATTACTGCTCTAGGTACTGAGCAAACAAGTAATGAAGTAGACACTTCTGGCCCCATGGATCTTTCCATGTCAGAAAGCTGTGAATAGAGAACAGTTTTGCTGAAACATTATTTAAAATGGAAACATAAAGAAGACGAATGTTTGCTAAATACTTTGACTTTGTACTAAGAAAACTATAGCTGTCTCAAAAATGTTCTCAAGCTCTTCAAAATGTTTTAGTGTAAACAATAAACAAAACCAAGCAATGCAGTCGAGCCCTGAGGTTAAATGATGCTACAACAGGAATGCCAGATTCTGAACCTCTAGAAATACAGACATTGTCCAATGCTGTAGGAAGTTCTTCATACCTCCTCATGAATTCCCTAGTTAAGCAATAAACTACAGAACAGGTGCATACATGAACACAGCAGGAAATGTCTGTAACTCACATACTGCAGTGGCTCAGATTCCAGATATATCCCTTTCTCTTCTGTGCATGTGAAGTCTCTCATATGCAGAGCTTATTTTTGGTTAACACACACTGCAGGCTTCAGTAAGACCCTTGTAAAAACCATTCCTTATTAATTCAGCCTCTATTAGACCAAGCCACATTTATGAAACTGTAACCTGCTGGAATTTTATTCAGTAACTTTCGGTTTAATTGTACGTTCACAAAGTATTTCCAACTTAATTGCAGTCTCTTTCTGTTTCAGGTCATACACATCAGCTTTATGTCCTCCACACACTTTCAGAAATCTATTAAGAGCTGAAAAAGATTTTAATGATTCACTGGATGATTTTAAATGGCTTCACAGGAACAGTAACACAGTAGCATTTTTCCCTGATCCAGTGCTTTGAGCATCAGTTGGTGTGACACGTACCCTGTCAGTCTTCCCTTCAGTCTGGATACTGGTACGACTACGTGCATCATGGTCTTCTTCCAGGTCAGACACATCTTCCAGCTCCTCGGGTGTCTGCAGAAAAAATGCAGAAAGGGGTTATTTTCCTTTGTGGTTGGTAACTTTGCTACTCGTGTCGAACTAAGATAACGTCTGACAAACAAAAACCAGCCCCCTTCCAAACTTTGTGTTTCAATATCGTGTTGTTGCTGCTAGAAACTTAAATGACTTACATGTCTTACAAGAAACCTTTACATGGCAAAAAGGGATTTTGAATGTGTCACTTATCAATTCTATCACACAGCACAAGTTCCTGCACTACAGGAAAAATTAAGTGACCTTAATTTGCTATTTGTATACGTGGCATTATTTCATATGTCACTGTCTGTTCCTCCTAGTCACCTAAAGTGCCATTTAATCCTGTGAGTCTGTTTAATTTATGCAAGAGCAATTTTTTATACAATCAAGGTCTTCAGATTTATTTACTCCTTCCCACTTATCAAAAAATATTATTAAAAGAAAGGGGGGTTATGCAGAATTCTGACATTTTATCGTAGATAATATGGTAAGAAAATCACAATGACCATGACTTTATAAAGGACAATAAATAAAACATTAAAAGCAAGTTTACTTACATTAAAAAAACATGGCACAATAAAGCACACAAAAACTTCCAGGATTATGAACTATTTAAAGCATAATATTGGTTCTGCCAAAGCAACAGGGCACTGAAGAAATTTTCCTTTATCAAGTAACTTCACATTTTTAAGAACCAAAAATACATAGAACCAAATTCTACTTAAGTAGTGAGAAATCTACTACTGAATGATCTACTATCAGCTTGAGATCTAGAAGATCCAGGCATTCTTAGCACCCCAAAAGTCTGACGTGCCAAGAGAAACATGCCAAGGGCAGGACTAACCTTACCAAAAGACAGGCAGAAAGAAACTCAGTCATTACTTTTACCCAATTATCAAAAAAGTCGAATATAATTTTTTTAATCCGGAATTGCTTTATGTTCGCACCTTCATATTTTTACTGTCAAGTTATATACAAAGAAGATCTGTTGTGAGGGGCATCATAGGGTTCTGTCATTTTATTTCTGGGTCCATAGAATGGTAATTATATTAAATATATTAAACTGAATAAATCCACCTGCGTGCATGTGTACCATTTGGGGAAGAACTGTGAGGTAACACTGTAAGAAATAAAGAACCCCAAGCTGGTGCACAAGGTGGCAGAAATAATATGCTGGTGGTAAAAAAAGACACCCAAACTTCCTCAAGAAAACAGGCCACCAATTTTGGGGGTGAAAATGAGCGTGGTGCTACACTGGTGAAGTGGGAAAAGCAACATCTTATTTTCAGGCAAAGACTACCAGTGTTGTGAAGTCTCAGTTTTAAACCTGGAATTAGACATGGTAAGAATTCCACAGTATCCAAAGGCTGTTACTAGACAAAAGTTGTTTGAAAAATTTGCAGTGTGGAAGCAAAATAAGATTTTGTTGTGGGTGGATATCCCTGCAATAAAAAAAAAATATCACAAACTCACTTGAATTGAAACACATACAGACACTTATTAGAGGACCAATAACAGAAAGGTTATTAAAACAGAGTCACTTCAGCTTCTCAGGATTACACTGACCAGGGCCCTCAGGCAGATAATAGCCTTGATTCAGCTTATAGAAACAAAAGCCACTTTCTTTTAAAGCTACACTATACTTGGGTCATTATTTAAAAAAAAAAATTAGACTGTTGTCATTCTTAGGTTTTAATAAATTAGTTACAATTTTTTTCCCCCAGTGATCATAAAGCTGGATTCGGGATAGCAGAGCACCATTTCTTCCTAGGTGAACAGATAACTTGGGAATCTTTGACAATCCCACATTTTCAATATAGGGTTTCTTTCTTCTGTAAAACATGGAATACAAAATGTTGGGACAGGGCAGAATGGTTAATCATTTAAAGACAGTCACATTAATACTATTTTTCTGTGAAGTTGAGCTGTGTAAATATTACCAGCCTCATCATGGAAACCTTGACAGCAAAGAGGTCAGCAAAACGACTCTGGTATAATACACCTATAAACAACAGCCTCAGGAAAGCTTCCCAAAGAAAAAATCATCATTACATTGATCTGATCTGGCACTTTCAAAACTGCAGATCATAGAACAGAAATCTCTTTCTAGCTGCACTGGCACAGGGATTCCCTCTCCAACTCTTTATTCATCTGCAGAATGATGGCTCAGGGTCTAAGAGCAAGTGTGCTCACCTAAACCCCTCCTATTATATATGTTGTCAGAAAACTTTTTTAAAAAACAATGTATATGCGCTTTTCAGGTTAGTAAAATTTATTTGAGGCTGGGACAAGAAGTTCTTCACAGAAAGCCCATTTTTCCAGCCAGAAGAGCGGACTCCCATTGAATCTCTTCTCTCCAAAGTCCAGATCTCTCAGGTTTTGAATTATTGCTACTACAGAATTCAGAAAAAAAACAAACCAAACCTATCCAGTTATTAAAGACTAAGGACAAAATTTCAACCAGAAAGAAACTTGATTTATCAAACTTTCAATTACAAACCACAAACTATCATCATTTTCAGACACAAAGCACCAAAAACTGAAAAAAACCACCACCATAATAATGAGAACAGAAGTAGTTACTCAATTGTTTTCTCTCCTTGAAAGCTGTTTTATGTAATTTTCATGTTGCTCTCATGATTATTCATTAAATACCTGAGTCAGACATGTAACTGTTTTTATGAATATCCATTTGCAAACATGTGGATATTCAACAGGAATGTTTGATGATTGCATGTTTGAACAGGTGTGAACTGTGAGGGTTTGCAACACAAAATAGGGTGCTACCATCAATAATCAGAAATCCTGCCCAGGGAGAATAGCAGAGCTTGAGGACTGCAGTTAGAATCATGGAAGGAAGTTGGAAGTATTGTTAAAGGTTGAGTATTTAGGGCTCTGACATACAGTGCAGATAACCTTCCTAAGAGGAGTCTCAGCAACAGCAAGGGACAGAAGAGGAAGAGAGTTGGGTGTTGTAGGTGGTGACAGGATGAACACAAGACAGCAAATTCCCTATTAAGACACACAAAGTATGGAATTTACAGTAAACGTTAGGAAGAACACTGAGGTAAAATGAAATCCTGCACAAGACTCCAGCCAGCAACAACCCACAAACTCATGTGTGCAGCACACTGGGAAACAGAGTTTAGAAATAAATTTAAACAGGAAAAATGAGAAAAGGGTTTCCAGCAGCCAAAGGAGCAGAACTCTTGAACAGTCTTCCCTGGGGGTGCTGGAGGAGGGGAGGAATTCATTAGAAGATGAAGCCTGAGCAGCCTCCAAACAAGGTAATGTAACAGTTGGCTGCAAGGGCAGAGGTGTGAGAGGGGACAGGACACTGCCCCAGGCTCCTGGCACAGGGGTCCAAGAGAGATTTCCATCATTTGTGAAAAGCCTTTGTTGATCCTGACAAAAACGCATTCAAGGATATCCCTACACACACATTTAAGGCTGTAATTACATTACTACTGCTGCTGCAACTACATACAAGTTGCATGTATTCCTTTTCACATTTCAGTGATCCTAATAAATCTGCATTCTCAATGCTTTTGTTACTGAAGGCTCAGGCTGAGGACACAAAGTCGTATTTATAGCAAAGTCTAATACTGATGAATTTTGCACTTTCCTGGTATTCAACTTCAAGCTGCAACAGCAAGTCATTACTACTGCACCTGGGTGATTTCAAGATATGAATTACCTTTTCATCTATGAAATGAAAAACACTCTCTGATGACAAACCTTTTCATTTGCTTTTCTACTAGGATTTTAAAGAGAATAATTAATAAAACCAAGGTCTGGCCTCAGTCTTTAGAACTGTGCCAATTTTTCCAAACTGGTTGCAAATGGGCTTTTTGGCATGTTTGCTTTCTAATCCAAGCTTTGTAGAACAATGTGCTTGACTAGCTTTCACAGCATTTTCTCTGACACAATTTTTTTAATGAAAACCCTCCTCAAAAGTGATTATGCAAACAACTTCAACTAGATCATTCTTTTTTAATGTTCACATGTACCCACGAAACCATCAATCCTGCAAATAAAGGTCCTCGGCTGTTGGAAAATAATGCAGAGCCAAGTCTAAAATCTCAAGATACACAATGTAAATGTGGAAAAAGAGGCACCATGAGGTGAAAGGGAGCTATCTACTTTTATCTAACATTCAATTAAATGCTGACCTTTAAAATGTCATTATATGCTCTTATGCTTTATCTTATGTTGCTTTCAACAGCCTCATCACTCATTGTTTTTCTGAAATCAATACTAAAATGCAGAGCAGACTAACACCTTCAGAGGAGCTGAGTTGATGAGTGATGTCTTTATTATACTCCTGCAAATGCAGCTATTTGTGTTGTGTAAATACCACAGCAGCAACAGAAATGCTTGTATGCACTCCAGGAGGATCAGAGTTCCTCTATTATGTTCTCCACCGAGCACACAACGGGTTTAAAGAGATTATCTATTCTACCATGGGCATTTGTCTAATGCCCACATTTTGAAAATTCCATCATGTCAAGCTGCATGTCACTCAGTGTAACAAACTATGGTACATGTATCACAACTGCTCAAATACTGTGCTCTGCAATTATTTAGCTAGTGGCTGATATTTTTGTGTGTTAGTCACAACACTACCATTATCCCACACTTAATTCTGCCAGATGACAGACTGCCAGAGCAAGAGTTTTCAAGCATCAGAAAGAGAACAAGAAAGTGCAAGTGTTATTTATTTTTGATGACTAATTTAGTAAGAACCTCATCTAATTGTTGCTGTCTAGTCATTAAAAGCACTTTTCAGGTTTTCACTAAAAGCAATTACTTTGAGTGTTGATAACAACAAACCCCACATTCTAAAGGGCAAATTAAAATCCTATGTTCTTAATCTGTCAATATTGTGACATCTCAATGCTATGGCAAATACCATCCCCTCTATTAAAAATTATCATATTGATCATTCTTGAAATCCATTCTTGGCACTCCCCTTAAAATGACATCTTTTGCATACC